GGGATCCACCACTGTTTCTGGCCAGATCACTGAGCTGCTGGTTAGACAGCATGGGGTGTCCGCCGCGGTGATCGATAATCGCCAACAGAATGCGTGTTTTTACGCTGCGAAGCACGGGCACTCACAGCTGCCGCTTGACTCCAATATTCTAGGGCCTTGGGAATCTCCTCGTGTTGGATGCTTCCAGGCTGTCCAGAAAATCAATGTTTGTTGGATGAGACCCTACTCTTGAATGTGATCAATTGCATTTCCTGCCCCACATCTTGCCCATTCCCACAGTGGTCAGAATATGTGCTGAGGTGTGAGTTCCTCATCGCATCTGGGTGTTCTGTGAGCCACACTGACACCTCTGGGCAAACGCCTGTATTTTATTCAGTGCGGGCTGGCCATGTGACTCAGCTTAAGGAACAAGTATGTGCGATGCACCAAAAAACATCCTTGCTCGGTTTCTGCATGTGCTTTTGCTGTATGATTGAATATTTTGTCGGGTTGAGTTTGGGGGATCTCTGCTCATGCTTGCTGTAGTCGAGCATTTTGTGAACCTTTGAAGTCCTCCAACTTCTTGATGCTATCGCGCTGAGATTGGTGCCACTGAAGCGCTGCTGAAACATGGCGCAGCAATAGACGCGAGGGACCAGCACGGCTTCACGCCCATCTTCTGGGCAGCAGAAGCTGGAAAAGTGCAAATGATGACGCTGGGTCTGCAGGAAAGGTCGTATTTCGTGGTTCCCTCTTGGTCGGCCCATACTTTAAAAAGTGATAGTTTGTCCACCCTACTTCCATCTTCAATGTGGGTGACTCTACACACAGGGATACACCATGAACAGGCCCTGCTACGGAAATATGAATGACTTTTTGGGGCAAATGGCCATGAATCGGGGCTACTAACGCAATCTGCAAAAGTGGCTATGCAGTCCTTGGTGCACTGAGGAAGCACCTCGTTCAGAAAGGTGCGACAACAGATATGCTGAGCAACATGGGAGGTGACATCTTTGCCTCCGCTACAGGCCAGACAATTTTAGCCTTTGTGTTGGCCCAGTGTTGGCGGATGAGGATGCTGAGGGTTGGCAGTCCATGGCACATCACATATGTTGGGACAGCCAAGAGCAGGTTCTTTAGCCTTGAATCTTTGAAAGGACAGCCCCACGGTATTCCATAGCTTTGTAGTCCTCCCCTTTACAAACAAAACAAATTTGGACGATCAAGATGGAAGGACCCAAGAAGTTGAGTACCATGTATAAAGGTGCATAGATGTTGAGACACGGCGTATCATCAACACTGGTAGCAATCGATGGCTCCATACCGCTCCTTGTTCGACCTCCGTGGGTGCTCAGGCCCAGCTCTAAAGTATGCGTTGGAGTTGGGCATGGATCCGAATAGAATATTGTCCAAAGGCCAAACAAATCTTTTCGGTGCTGCCAAGCGTGGCGATGTCGAGAAAGTGAAGGTGGGACGGATTTGGTTTCACTCGGCATGCTTTTGAAACAATAAACAACTTGGTGGAGGACCTTGAATCCATTGTAGACACCAACGTATTGTCTTTGATTGCTGGCTTAACATAAAACATCTTATCTTAATCGACTCAGACTTTGGAAGAGGTTGGGTCTATGTCACCAACAAGGTTTCCTTACCATCCTTCCAGAAATGATTTGCGGTTGCACTGCCCCGCTTTGGACTGGCAAGTCTTGTGATAGGTCTTAGTTGAGACCCACAACGCAGATCTCATGGTTGAGATCTGCGTTGTGGGTCCCATAAAGACGAATATGGACAAACATGCGTCTCAGCTGCAGTTGACAAGGGCAACTAGAGTTGGTAGACAATCGATCAGAGATATGTGGCCGAGAGTGAGTGTATGTAGAACCTGTCAGAATGGTGTCTCTTGACACAGTGTTTGATGTGCTGCAGGGTATACAGTTTGAATTTTCGATTATTTTAAACTTTAGCCTGTTTCGTCCATGACGTTGGTGGACCCTGGAAATTCATTGTGGCCTCCCTCTCTCAAGTATTCAATCATGCAAAGCTGATCTGGGTGATCTGCATCGATCGAGATCGAGGCCTTTTTTATGCCGCAGCGCATGGGGGATGCACAGTTACGCATGTGCTACTAGGAAAGTACAAGGCTGATGCCTTGATCAAAGATGCTTGGCACTTGGCGCCATTCATTCCTCTCAACGGATTGATGGTGTTGGGGTGGGAGAGGTGCAAAGGAATTTTGGTGGGCCGGTTGTTTGTTTTTGCCGGAGTTCGTTCCTGAGCCATTTGTGGAGTGGCGCTGCAAGAATTCATACTGTTTCCGCCACCAAGGACAACCATGGAAGAACAGCCCGGCAGTACATGCTGGAGCTTGAAAAACTCGATGAATACAAAGATATTGTGAAACTGTTGCAACTTGGTTCAAGACTGTTCATCCTGCTGTGAGCTCGAATTATCTCAAAATGGTTGAGAATCATCAGTTCATATCAGAGAGCATCATGGAGGGCCCTGGTTTACCAGGTCCCTGGTTCCCGAGCCCTGCTTGCTGAGGGGGGATGCAGAGCGCAAGCAGCAGAAGGCAATTGAAGCCGCACAGAAAAAGCAGCGCGCCGCTGCTGCACAGCTGCGAAAGCGCGAGGAAAAACTGGCAAAGGCGCAGAAGAAGGCGGAGGAGCAACTGGGGTCGCCATCTCGTTGGGCCACTCTTTTCGAGAGATGAGTTCCAGCCATCCAAAGCATGGGCATTGGCATGCAGCGGCACGCACAAAATATGAACAAAGTAATCAAAACATATCAAACCATGTTCCCATGCTTTTTCTTGGAACTTCGCAGGAGCAAGAAAGAGCTCGAGCTGAGAGAGCCGCAGCTGCAACCAGAGCTGCAGCGGCGTCATCAAGCTCGAGAAAGCGTCCATCTTCGGCGGAGGAGCCGGCAGCCAAGAGGCGCTTGAGGGCGGTTTCAACGTATGGGTTGCCGGCAAGAGTTGGATGTTTGGACCTCAACACAGAACAAGTTGATACAATTTAACCCGGGGTGGTCCAGGGTGTATGATTTTGGCTGACAGGCAACGCTACGAGCTCGTGTGCCAAGAAGGAAGACAAAGGATTCCTCAGGATTCTGAGACGCTGGGTGAACGTCAGTGAATGTAAACACCAAACACGGACCCAAAATGTGGGTGTACAATCAACAAACATATTGGGATACGAGATGAGAGCCGAAAGGGCAACAATTTTCGTGCTGTTTCAGTACTTGTCCAAAGAGTTGTTCCCCTGTACGAACTAAGGCCAAGAATAAATCCACATAATTCCACAAACAGGTACTCGTAGCTGTATTTGATTTTCGGAGTTCAGTGACCCAGGGCCAGACTTTGCAAGAGGCCTGGAAAGTAGTGTCTAGATGCAGTCCCACCGTCAAGCGTTTGTGTTCCCAGTTGTGCCCACGAGCTGGCTGCAAGCCCATTTAAAGGGACATCCTGATATACGAGCTAGTACTTCACCGGAGCGTTCATTTGAAATCAAATGCTTTCTTTCAAACCGAGACCCCGCCACCACTCGCCCATTTCATTGGAGACGTGACAAATTTCCATTTGGACAGGTTCGTTGACTTTCCCACATTGCCATCCCAAGGAAATTCACTGACAAGTGGCATGAGCTTGTGGATCAATGCCAATTTTTACAGGGCCCGAAGCGCCGCTGAGGAGTCATGGGGCCATGGGGCTGTGCATTGAACGTCTCCTTAAAGTATATGCATGATGTGGAATAGATTCGTTCGATGACATTTCAATGATATTTTTTTCAGATCAGAGTCAGAGTCCTTTCTTAATCCTTTTGGCATGATGCATTCTTCTTCAGAATTTGAACAGCGAATTGATTTCTATGCGGATCCATTCAGTATTGGAAATTTGCTCACGGGATTTCATGCAATCGTTTGATTTTTGTTTCACCGTCACAGTGACACTTTGTGCTGGGGATGTTGACAGTGGAGTGTTGAAGCAGCGAAACAACCTCCTTTGGCCAGCCCTATGACTCTTCACTGCTGGCGATTCGAGCCCAATGTGGAATAGATTCGTTCCCAGACATTTCAATTGTGTTTCTTCATGTCCGCATCCTTTCTTAATTCTTTGGGCGTGATGCATTCTTCTTCAGAATTTGAACTGTGAACTGATTTCAATGCGGATGCGATCCAATGACTGTACTTCAGCAGAATGTGAGCTTCGGATCTTTGTTTCACCGCCCTTGCAGGGACACTTCGCGCTAGGGTGGATGTTGACAGTGGAGTTGTGAAGCAACTTTTGAAACAACCTCCTTCGGGCATTTTAGCTCTGGCAGCAACATGGATGTAGGCAGGGTTTTCACCACAATACCATTGGGGGGTAACCAAAACACTTGAGACTCAACAAAGCAATAGGCTTGAAGAAATTGTTGATACCTGCGTCAGGCCGGACAGAAACTGGCTTTGTTGTTTGCGGCACCTGGCTCCCATGAAATTGTTTGTTTTGAATTTTGAAGCGACAATTGAGAAGTTGAATATCCAAGGACAAGAAAAGGGAAAACACAGGATCTAGTGAATCTAGTGCCGCGAGAATTTACATTAATTCATGCTCCTATTGGTGTGAAAGCTAAAATTGATACCATCATATCATGAGTCACATCCATTCTTGCAAGCTCTCGCACGAGATGGTACCGCTGCTTGAGTGCAGAAGAGATTTCTGTTTCATGGCGTGCATGTAGTCAAACTCAAACGGTTTTTTCCCGACACCAAGCCGCTGGGTCCTGACTTGCAGTGCGACGTACTTTGTTCCAAACTGCTTCTTTAATCTAGTTGCTTGGTCCGGGCCGGCTCACTGATGAGTTATGATGAGTTGGTCTGAATCTCAGTACAGGACCCAAACCAGTGTTCTATGGCAAAAACTGGGATAGTGTTTGCTCAGCAAACGGTCAGTGCACCCGGGTTTCCCTGCACCTTACACATTCACTTCAAGGAATGCATAGCTTTCCAGTCAATGGGACCGCACAGTCAAGATTTTTTGAATAATCCTTATAAATGAACTTGAAAGCTGGTAAGCCAATAGATCATTACCTTCAGAGACACTTCCACTCCCATGACTTGAGTGGTTTACGCACCTGCCAACTACCTATAAATTGCACGGGTCATCCCCCTGTGATCCACTTTGGCACGCTGATTTCTGTCATTTCCTGCATTTCGCAGGCGCTTGCTCCAGCTTTGTTTCTCAAGAAGAGAATTGCCGGACAGCGGCTTTGGGTGGATGGGGTGCCTCACAGTCGGGAGAATAGTTATTCGTGTGAGTCCAAAAAACGAAGGCAGGACATGTATGTTTCATGTTTTTGGCACGGGAAACCAACTGTCGGGTGCAAGTTGCAATGCTTGAATATCCACTTCGAACCATGGTTTTGCCCGAGGTTGGGTCGCTTCTTTTTTCCGTAGCCTTCGTGAGCTCAGGGTCTGGACCCGTGGCTGGTTAGCAGTTGGGCGCGAACAAGTGACCGGCGTATCCAAGCCATGGCTTTTCCATCTGTCAATGAGGCTCAAAGGCTGGTTGACCAGCTGCCGTGGGCGGCGGTAAAAAGCCACACCGTCAAGGTGTGGGGCAGGGGGGACAGTGGTAAACCGGCAGCTTGATGTTTGGGTTGAGGCGGGTCAGATAGTCTCAAGACTCGGATGGCTGTGTTGAATGGCCAGCCCATCTGCCAATTTCCGTTGCTGTTGTAAATTAGACCAAGTAGCCGCTCTATGAGTGGGCAGGTTTCAAAAATTGATGCACATAGCTTGACTTTGCCAAGATTGCAGGAAGGATGATACGCCTGACTTCCCAATGCAGGTTTTTTTTTGTGCAGAGTTTTCAGGCATTGCCAGGGGTCATGTCAAACCAACGCTGTTCTGATTTGTTCGGATTAGTTTTTGTTTCAGCATCTTTTTGTTTGGTTCGGCTGATCCCTTTTTGGCAGTGTTTTGTTCGTTGCACCCCAAACACCCCAAACAGGTGGTGGACGATCTCGTCGCCCGGCATAAGGCGAACCCAAAGCAGGCTTCAACTGATTGAAATGGCGCGGGTAGGAGGGAAGTTTTCATGTTGATAAACGGATCGTGACAGTCCAGTGGCCGAACTTGTGCTGTGGAACTTCAATTGGAACAGCTCGTAGTAGATTGGTTTCAACCCGCATGCGTGTGGCACGCGTAACACGCTTCCACATAAAACCATCTGTAACAGGAGCTGTTGACTTTTTTTATCGCAAGCTCCTTGAGGGACTTTTCCTGTTTCTTGTCTTCTTTCCAACCACTGCGACACTACAACTGGGGCAACCCATGAAACTGTCCCTTTGAAACGACACTTACTTGACAAGGTGGAAATCCCAGAAGTGTTAGATAAAGACATCACATCCAAGTCCAACATGCCTTTCCAATCCATAGGCCTTCTCTAGTGTCAAAGCTAAACATTGAGAGCATCACACCCATTCGCCTTGCAATTTACTCAGCGTGTTTCGCTGCTCGGGTGCAGAAAAGTTTCCGCTGATTCGCAGTCACACACACACACACACCCACACACAGACACCTTCAAATTGGAGTATGTTGGCCGCCAATTGGCCCTTGCGATTCCAGTTTCACGATTGAAAGTTGGGAGTTCCGAATCCCTCGTGCCCATGTTGACCCAGGGACACCATCACATCAATCATTGCACAGGTGAACCGAATTGGGCAGACGCTGCTCTTCGAAGCGGCCCAACATGTCAGTGGGCAGCAGGCATTTGAGGCTGGACCTGGATCGGGGCCGTATGGTGACGAAAACCTTGGGAAACCGTTGCGTGGCCGCTGTTTGATTTGGGGATCCACCACTGTTTCTGGCCAGATCACTGAGCTGCTGGTTAGACAGCATGGGGTGTCCGCCGCGGTGATCGATAATCGCCAACAGAATGCGTGTTTTTACGCTGCGAAGCACGGGCACTCACAGCTGCCGCTTGACTCCAATATTCTAGGGCCTTGGGAATCTCCTCGTGTTGGATGCTTCCAGGCTGTCCAGAAAATCAATGTTTGTTGGATGAGACCCTACTCTTGAATGTGATCAATTGCATTTCCTGCCCCACATCTTGCCCATTCCCACAGTGGTCAGAATATGTGCTGAGGTGTGAGTTCCTCATCGCATCTGGGTGTTCTGTGAGCCACACTGACACCTCTGGGCAAACGCCTGTATTTTATTCAGTGCGGGCTGGCCATGTGACTCAGCTTAAGGAACAAGTATGTGCGATGCACCAAAAAACATCCTTGCTCGGTTTCTGCATGTGCTTTTGCTGTATGATTGAATATTTTGTCGGGTTGAGTTTGGGGGATCTCTGCTCATGCTTGCTGTAGTCGAGCATTTTGTGAACCTTTGAAGTCCTCCAACTTCTTGATGCTATCGCGCTGAGATTGGTGCCACTGAAGCGCTGCTGAAACATGGCGCAGCAATAGACGCGAGGGACCAGCACGGCTTCACGCCCATCTTCTGGGCAGCAGAAGCTGGAAAAGTGCAAATGATGACGCTGGGTCTGCAGGAAAGGTCGTATTTCGTGGTTCCCTCTTGGTCGGCCCATACTTTAAAAAGTGATAGTTTGTCCACCCTACTTCCATCTTCAATGTGGGTGACTCTACACACAGGGATACACCATGAACAGGCCCTGCTACGGAAATATGAATGACTTTTTGGGGCAAATGGCCATGAATCGGGGCTACTAACGCAATCTGCAAAAGTGGCTATGCAGTCCTTGGTGCACTGAGGAAGCACCTCGTTCAGAAAGGTGCGACAACAGATATGCTGAGCAACATGGGAGGTGACATCTTTGCCTCCGCTACAGGCCAGACAATTTTAGCCTTTGTGTTGGCCCAGTGTTGGCGGATGAGGATGCTGAGGGTTGGCAGTCCATGGCACTTCACATATGTTGGGACAGCCAAGAGCAGGTTCTTTAGCCTTGAATCTTTGAAAGGACAGCCCCACTGTATTCCATAGCTTTGTAGTCCTCCCCTCTACAAACAAAACAAATTTGGACGATCAAGATGGAAGGACCCAAGAAGTTGAGTACCATGTATAAAGGTGCATAGATGTTGAGACACGGCGTATCATCAACACTGGTAGCAATCGATGGCTCCATACCGCTCCTTGTTCGACCTCCGTGGGTGCTCAGGCCCAGCTCTAAAGTATGCGTTGGAGTTGGGCATGGATCCGAATAGAATATTGTCCAAAGGCCAAACAAATCTTTTCGGTGCTGCCAAGCGTGGCGATGTCGAGAAAGTGAAGGTGGGACGGATTTGGTTTCACTCGGCATGCTTTTGAAACAATAAACAACTTGGTGGAGGACCTTGAATCCATTGTAGACACCAACGTATTGTCTTTGATTGCTGGCTTAACATAAAACATCTTATCTTAATCGACTCAGACTTTGGAAGAGGGTGGGTCTATGTCACCAACAAGGTTTCCTTACCATCCTTCCAGAAATGATTTGCGGTTGCACTGCCCCGCTTTGGACTGGCAAGTCTTGTGATAGGTCTTATTTGAGACCCACAAAGCAGATCTCAACCATCGAGACGAATATGGACAAACATGCGTCTCAGCTGCAGTTGACAAGGGCAACTAGAGTTGGTAGACAATCGATCAGAGATATGTGGCCGAGAGTGAGTGTATGTAGAACCTGTCAGAATGTGTATTTCTTGACATAGTGTTTGATGTGCTGCAGGGTATACAGTTTGAATTTTCGATTATTTTAAATTTTCGCCTGTTTCATCCATGACGTTGGTGGACCCTGAAAATTCATTGTGGCCTCCCTCTCTCAAGTATTCAATCATGCAAAGCTGATCCGGGTGACGTGCATCGACCGAGATCGAGGCCTTTTTTTATGCCGCAGCGCATGGAGGACTCAAGGTGACAGATCTGCTACTAGTAAAGTACAAGGCTGATGCCTTGATCAAAGATGCTTGGCGTTATTCATTCCGTTAAGCCCTTTTTTTTTTATGCTGCAGCGCATGGAGGACTCAAGGTTACGAATCTGCTAGTTAGCAGATTCGTAACCTTGCGTCATCCATGCGCTGCAGCATATTAGTAGGAAAGTACAAGGCTGATGCGTTGTCAACGCATCAGCCTTGTACTTATACTTTCCTACTAATATGGTGCAGTTGATCAAAGATGCTTGGTGTTATTCATTCCGTTAAGCCGATGGTGTTGAGGTTGGAGGGGCGCCCAAACTCAAAGTTAGCAGATTCGTAACCTTGCGTCATCCATGCGCTGCAGCATATTAGTAGGAAAGTACAAGGCTGATGCGTTGTCAACGCATCAGCCTTGTACTTATACTTTCCTACTAATATGGTGCAGTTGATCAAAGATGCTTGGTGTTATTCATTCCGTTAAGCCGATGGTGTTGAGGTTGGAGGGGCGCCCAAACTCACAATGTTTCTGCTAGCAAGGACAACTGTGGAAGAACTGCGCTCCAGTATGTGCTGGAGCTGCAAAATGCAGACGAACCCAAAGACGTCGTGAAGCTGCTGCAACTTGGTTCAAGAATGCTCATTTTTGTTGAGATCGAATTGCTGCATTTTTCTGCGCTGCAAAATGGTTCAAAAGTCATCAATTTGAAACCATTAATCTCAGAGAGCATCATGGAGGGCACTCGGCCCCAGGGGTTACCAGCTCCATGGTTCTTGAGCCCTGCTTGCCCCAACAGGGCGGATGCGGAGCGGAAGCAGCAGAAGGCCATTCAGGCGGCCCAGAAAAAGCAGCGTGCCGCTGCTGCACAGCTGCGAAAGCGCGAGGAAAAACTGGCAAAGGCGCAGAAGAAGGCGGAGGAGCAACTGGGGTCGCCATCTCGTTGGGCCACTCTTTTCGAGAGATGAGTTCCAGCCATCCAAAGCATGGGCATTGGCATGCAGCGGCACGCACAAAATATGCACAAAGTAATCAAAACATGTCAAAACAAATTTTCGACATGTTCCCACGCTTTTTCTTGGAACTTCGCAGGAGCAAGAAAGAGCTCGAGCTGAGAGAGCCGCAGCTGCAACCAGAGCTGCAGCCGCGTCATCAAGCTCGAGAAAGCGTCCATCTTCGGTGGAGGAGCCGGCAGCCAAGAGGCGCTTGAGGGCGGTTTCAACGTATGGGTTGCCGGCAAGAGTTAGATGTTTGGACCTCAAGACAGAACAAGTTGATACAATTTAACCCAGGGTGATCCAGGGTGTATGATTTTGGCTGACAGGCAACGCTACGAGCTCGTGTGCCAAGAAGGAAGACAAAGGATTCCTCAGGATTCTGAGACGCTGGGTGAACATCAGTGAATGTAAACACTAAACACGGACCCAAAATGTGAATCAACAACATATTGGGATACGAGATGAGAGCCTATAGGGCAACAATTTTCGTGCTGTTTCAATACTTGTCCAAAGAGTTGTTCCCCTGTACGAACTAAGGCCAAGAATAGATCCACATAATTCCACAAACAGGTACTCGTAGCTGTATTTGAGTTTCGGAGTTCAGTGACCCAGGGCCAGACTTTGCAAGAGGCCTGGAAAGTAGTGTCTAGATGCAGTCCCACCGTCAAGCGTTTGTGTTCCCAGTTGTGCCCACGAGCTGGCTGCAAGCCCATTTAAAGGGACATCCTGATATACAAGCTAGTACTTCACCGGAGCGTTCATTTAAAATCAAATGCTTTCTTTCAAACCGAGCCCCCGCCACCACTCGCCCATTTCATTGGAGACTTGACAAATATCCATTTGGACAGGTTCGTTGACTTTCCCACATTGCCATCCCAAGGAAATTCACTGACAAGTGGCATGAGCTTGTGGATCAATGCCAATTTTTACAGGGCCCGAAGCGCCGCTGAGGAGTCATGGGGCCATGGGGCTGTGCATTGAACGTCTCCTTAAAGTATATGCATGATGTGGAATAGATTCGTTCGATAGCATTTCAATGATATTTTTTTCAGATCAGAGTCAGAGTCCTTTCTTAATCCTTTTGGCATGATGCATTCTTCTTCAGAATTTGAACAGCGAATTGATTTCTATGCGGATCCATTCCGCATTGGAAATTTGCTCACGGGATTTCATGCAATCGTTTGATTTTTGTTTCACCGTCACAGTGACACTTTGTGCTGGGGATGTTGACAGTGGAGTGTTGAAGCAGCGAAACAACCTCCTTTGGCCAGCCCTATGACTCTTCACTGCTGGCGATTCGAGCCCAATGTGGAATAGATTCGTTCCCAGACATTTCAATTGTGTTTCTTCATGTCCGCATCCTTTCTTAATTCTTTGGGCGTGATGCATTCTTCTTCAGAATTTGAACTGTGAACTGATTTCAATGCGGATGCGATCCAATGACTGTACTTCAGCAGAATGTGAGCTTCGGATCTTTGTTTCACCGCCCTTGCAGGGACACTTCGCGCTAGGGTGGATGTTGACAGTGGAGTTGTGAAGCAACTTTTGAAACAACCTCCTTCGGGCATTTTAGCTTTGGCAGCAACATGGATGTAGACAGGGTTTTCACCACAATACCATTGGGGGTAACCAAAACACTTGAGACTCAACAAAGCAATAGGCTTGAAGAAATTGTTGAGACCTGCATCAGGCCGGACAGAAACTGGCTTTGTTGTTTGCGGCACCTGGCTCCCATGAAATTGTTTGTTTTGAATTTTGAAGCGACAATTGAGAAGTTGAATATCCAAGGACAAGAAAAGGGAAAACACAGGATCTAGTGAATCTAGTGCCGCGAGAATTTACATTAATTCATGCTCCTATTGGTGTGAAAGCTAAAATTGATACCATCATATCATGAGTCACATCCATTCTTGCAAGCTCTCGCACGAGATGGTACCGCTGCTTGAGTGCAGAAGAGATTTCTGTTTCATGGCGTGCATGTAGTCAAACTCAAACGGTTTTTTCCCGACACCAAGCCGCTGGGTCCTGACTTGCAGTGCGACGTACTTTGTTCCAAACTGCTTCTTTAATCTAGTTACTTGGTCCGGGCCGGCTCACTGATGAGTTATGATGAGTTGGTCTGAATCTCAGTACAGGACCCAAACCAGTGTTCTATGGCAAAAACTGGGATAGTGTTTGCTCATCAAACGGTCAGTGCCCCCGGGTTTCCCTGCACCTTACACATTCACTTCAAGGAATGCATAGCTTTCCAGTCAATGGGACCGCACAGTCAAGATTTTTTGAATAATCCTTAAAAATGAACTTGAAAGCTGGTCCGCCAATAGATCATTACCTGAGTTGAGTGGTTTACGCACCTGCCAACTACCTATAAATTGCACGGGTCATCCCCCTGTGATCCACTTTGGCACGCTGATTTCTGTCATTTCCTGCATTTCGCAGGCGCTTGCTCCAGCTTTGTTTCTCAAGAAGAGAATTGCCGGACAGCGGCTTTGGGTGGATGGGGTGCCTCACAGTCGGGAGAATAGTTATTCGTGTGAGTCCAAAAAACGAAGGCAGGACATGTATGTTTCATGTTTTTGGCACGGGAAACCAACTGTCGGGTGCAAGTTGCAATGCTTGAATATCCACTTCGAACCATGGTTTTGCCCGAGATTGGGTCGCTTCTTTTTTCCGTAGCCTTCGTGAGCTCAGGGTCTGGACCCGTGGCTGGTTAGCAGTTGGGCGCGAACAAGTGACCGGCGTATCCAAGCCATGGCTTTTCCATCTGTCAATGAGGCTCAAAGGCTGGTTGACCAGCTGCTGTGGGCGGCGGTAAAAAGCCACACCGTCAAGGTGTGGGGCAGGGGGACAGTGGTAAACCGGCAGCTTGATGTTTGGGTTGAGGCGGGTCAGACAGTCCCAAGACTCGGATGGCTGTGTTGAATGGCCAGCCCATCTGCCAATTTCCGTTGCTGTTGTAAATTAGAGGGGTCCAAGTAGCCGCTCTATGAGTGGGCAGGTTTCAAAAATTGATGCACATGCTTGACTTTGCCAAGATTGCAGGAAGGATGATACGCCTGACTTCCCAATGCAGGATTTTTTTTTTGTGCAGAGTTTTCAGGCATTGCCAGGGGTCATGTCAAACCAACGCTGTTCTGATTTGTTCGGATTAGTTTTCGTTTCAGCATCTTTTTGTTTGGTTCGGCTGATCCCTTTTTGGCAGTGTTTTGTTCGTTGCACCCCAAACACCCCAAACACCCCAAACAGGTGGTGGACGATCTCGTCGCCCAGCATAAGGCGAACCCAAAGCAGGCTTCAACTGACTGAAATGGCGCGGGTAGGAGGGAAGTTTTCATGTTGATAAACGGATCGTGACAGTCCAGTGGCCGAACTTGTGCTGTGGAACTTCAATTGGAACAGCTCGTAGTAGATTGGTTTCAACCCGCATGCGTGTGGCACGCGTAACACGCTTCCACATAAAACCATCTGTAACAGGAGCTGTTGACTTTTTTTATCGCAAGCTCCTTGAGGACTTTTCCTGTTTCTTGTCTTCTTTCCAACCACTGCGACACTACAACTGGGGCAACCCATGAAACTGTCCCTTTGAAACGACACTTGACAAGGTGGAAATCCCAGAAGTGTTAGATAAAGACATCACATCCAAGTCCAACATGCCTTTCCAATCCATAGGCCTTCTCTAGTGTCAAAGCTAAACATTGAGAGCATCACACCCATTCGCCTTGCAATTTACTCAGCGTGTTTCGCTGCTCGGGTGCAGAAAAGTTTGCGCTGATTCGCAGTCACACACACACACCCACACACACAGACACCTTCAAATTGGAGTATGTTGGCCGCCAATTGGCCCTTGCATGCCCTTGCGATTCCAGTTTCACGATTGAAAGTTGGGAGTTCCGAATCCCTCGTGCCCATGTTGACCCAGGGACACCATCACATCAATCATTGCACAGGCGAACCGAATTGGGCAGACGCTGCTCTTCGAAGCGGCCCAACATGTCAGTGGGCAGCAGGCATTTGAGGCTGGACCTGGATCGGGGCCGTATGGTGACGAAAACCTTGGGAAACCGTTGCGTGGCCGCTGTTTGACTTGGGGATCCACCACTGTTTCTGGCCAGATCACTGAGCTGCTGGTTAGACAGCATGGGGTGTCCGCCGCGGTGATCGATAATCGCCAACAGAATGCGTGTTTTTACGCTGCGAAGCACGGGCACTCACAGCTGCCGCTTGACTCCAATGTTCTAGGGCCTTGGGAATCTCCTCGTGTTGGATGCTTGCAGGCTGTCCAGAAAATCCATGTTTGTTGGATGAGACCCTACTCTTGAATGTGATCGATTGCATTTCCTACCCCACATCTTGCCCATTCCCGCAGTGGTCAGAATATGTGCTGAGGTGTGAGTTCCTCATCGCATCGGGGTCTTCTGTGAGCCACACTGACACCTCTGGGCAAACGCCTGTATTTTATTCAGTGCGGGCTGGCCATGTGACTCAGCTTAAGGAACAAGTATGTGCGATGCACCAAAAAACATCCTTGCTCGGTTTCTGCATGTGCTTTGGCTGTATGATTGAATATTTTGTCGGGTTGAGTTTGGGGGATCTCTGCTTGAAGTCCTCCAACTTCTTGGTGCTATCGAGCTGAGATTGGTGCCACTGAAGCGCTGCTGAAACATGGCGCAGCAATTGACGCGAGGGACCAGCACGGCTTCACGCCCATCTTCTGGGCAGCAGAAGCTGGAAAAGTGCAATTGATGACGCTGGGTCTGCAGGAAAGGTCGTATTTCGTGGTTCCCTCTTGGTCGGCCCATACTTTAAAAGTGATAGTTTGTCCACTCTACTTCCATTTTGAATGTGGGTGACTCTACACACAGGGATACACCATGAATAGGCCTTGCTCCGGAAATATGAATGACTTTTTGGGGCAAATGGCCATGAATCGGGGCTACTAACGCAATCTGCAAAAGTGGCTATGCAGTCCTTGGTGCACTGAGGAAGCACCTCGTTCAGAAAGGTGCGACAACAGATATGCTGAGCAACATGGGAGGTGACATCTTTGCCTCCGCTACAGGCCAGACAATTTTAGCCTTTGTGTTGGCCCAGTGTTGGCGGATGAGGATGCTGAGGGTTGGCAGTCCATGGCACTTCACATATGTTGGGACAGCCAAGAGCAGGTTCTTTAGCCTTGAATCTTTGAAAGGACAGCCCCACAGTATTCCATAGCTTTGTAGTCCTCCCCTTTACAAACAAAACAAATTTGGACGATCAAGATGGAAGGACCCAAGAAGTTGAGTAACATGTATAAAGGTGCATAGATGTTGAGACACGGCGTATCATCAACACTGGTAGCAATCGATGGCTCCATACCGCTCCTTGTTCGACCTCCGTGGGTGCTCAGGCCCAGCTCTAAAGTATGCGTTGGAGTTGGGCATGGATCCGAATCGAACATTGTCCAAAGGCCAAACAAATCTTTTCGGTGCTGCCAAGCGTGGCAATGTCGAGAAAGTGAAGGTGGGACGGATTTGGTTTCACTCGGCATGCTTTTGAAACAATAAACAACTTGGTGGAGGACCTTGAATCCATTTTAGACAGCAACGTATTGTCTTTGATTGCTGGCTTAACATAAAACATCTTACTTATCTTAATCGACTCAGACTTTGGAAGAGGTTGGGTCTATGTCACCAACAAGGTTTCCTTACCATCCTTCCAGAAATGATTTGCGGTTGCACTGCCCCGCTTTGGACTGGCAAGTCTTGTGATAGGTCTTAGTTGAGACCCACAACGCAGATCTCATGGTTGAGATCTGCGTTGTGGGTCCCATAAAGACGAATATGGACAAACATGCGTCTCAGCTGCAGTTGACAAGGGCAACTAGAGTTGGTAGACAATCGATCAGAGATATGTGGCCGAGAGTGAGTGTATGTAGAACCTGTCAGAATGTGTATTTCTTGACATAGTGTTTGATGTGCTGCAGGTTATACATTTTGAATTTT